CTGCTGCTGCTGCGGAGAGACGCTAAGCTGCTGTGTAGGCGCTCCAGCACGCAGCTGCTGCCCGAAACCGCCACTGCTAGTGTTTCCTAGCAACTGCTGCTGCTGTTGCTGCCGCACAATGTGACCTCCTCTCCCCCAACCCAGAACCGGCTGGCTGGTCGAAGACGGTGACCGCATCCCACTGCTGCCGCCGCCTGTCCCGCCGGCGCCACCCCCCCATGCGCCCAACAGGTGCCGGTCGTCGCTACCCACACCCGTCGATACTGGCGTCGACACTCTGGCGGCAGTGGCCGCTCCCGCCGCCGCCGCCGCGTTGTTGTACTCCTGCGCGCGGACGTTTCCGAGAAGGAGAGACACCGATGGGAGCCGTGGATGCCGTCCTGCTGCAGCCCCCGCCGCCGGTCGTCCTGCCGTTGTTTCTGGCGGTATCTCCCCGCCGGCGCCGCCGCCCTGTAGCCTCATTCCCCCTTCGAACGGCGCCGCCGGAGGGCATCGGAGTCGACCCTGGTGGGCCGCCATGCCCGCCGCCGCCGCCACGGCCGCTTCGCCGCCGGCGCTGGGCGGCGGAGCGCTGGTAGCGGTGGGGTACGCCCTCAAGCTACTGCTGCTGCTCTCCGGTGATGGACGATGCTGTTGTTGTTGTTGTTGTTGTTGCCGCTTGCCCGCGGCCTGCATCTCCGCGAGATCGATCGCCGGGGACGGGGACGGGAGGAGTATGGAGTAGGACGGCGCGCTGCCGCCGCCGCTTGTCGCCAGCTGCTGAGTGTCAGAGGTGCTGCTGGTGTTGCTCGAGCGGACGACGTCGTACGCGGCGGTGCTAATATTCGCCAGGGATCCGACCCCAACGGCCAGCGCCGACGACGCCGACGCCGACGGCGTGGGCGCGGTGGTGCCACTGTTGTCCCCGGGACTCGCGCCCCCGAACACGACGCCGCTCGGCGGCGGCAAGCCGAGAGCATCCTGCTGCTGCTGCCGCTGCCGCTGCTGATGGTGGCGGTGATGGTAGTGGTAGGAAGGCTCGAGTAGCTGCTGTTGCTGTTGGTGGTGCTGTTCGTGCTGCAGTTCTCGCTGCTGGCCGCCAACGTGAGAATTGTCTCCGCGATNAAAAAGCCGAGAGCATCCTGCTGCTGCTGCCGCTGCCGCTGCTGATGGTGGCGGTGATGGTAGTGGTAGGAAGGCTCGAGTAGCTGCTGTTGCTGTTGGTGGTGCTGTTCGTGCTGCAGTTCTCGCTGCTGGCCGCCAACGTGAGAATTGTCTCCGCGATCCATCATGGTTGCTGAGTCTGAGAGACAGAAGGCTTAGTCTGCCGCTTGGTGGGCCGATTCACACCGCCGCCGCCAGCGAGCCGCCCAGCGCGGCCGCAGCAATTGCGGCACGGGTTCCGCCGCGCGCGAGCGCGAGCGCCGGCCACGCGGGAGGACGTCGCACCAAAGTGGCCTAGGCCCCTGCCTCTCGGGCCCTGGCCAGCCACGCCTTTTACCTGTGACCAGTGACAAAAACGAAGTTGAGCGTACAATATACTCTTGTTGCTACCGTGCGAGATTCTTTGTTGCGGAGGAGAGGAGATAGGGCAACGTGGAATCGAACACTTGATCATCATGCGGCACAAGCGACTCGAATGAAATCACACACACACACACACGGAAAGGTGACAGAACACACCGCCGTCACGCACCCAGGGAGAAAGTGTGAGCACACGAGAGAGAAGAGAAAGAGAAAGAGGCACGCCTTCAGCAGCCGCTTCAATGGAATGCGTATGCATGCGAGCCTGAAAAAGTTTCGAATTATGTGGGTGCGCGGCAGTTTTGGAAAAAGGGAACGTTATCATCTTTTCTTTCATCAATCGCAGCGCACAGCGACGCTTGTGCGCTCGCTGGTGTTGGTGTTGCTGCTGCTGCTGCTGCTGCCGACAAACCCAAATCACGCCGTCAACAGCCGGCACACAGCAGCAGCCTTGATCACTGGCGGCAACACTCCTCTCGCGGAGCACACACGCCCTGTCCGGATGCGTCGGCATCCATACATATGCGACACCCCAGCAAATAGGCCGTCTTTCGCTGCTTGTATGTATACCGGCTGTCGGTGTGTGCATACCTTTGCGCGCTGCTGCGCTACAATCGCTCCCGTCCGCTTCAGCCCAGCGTTCCGATCCACGCGTACAAGCCCTTTCCTGCCAAGCCACACTATCTGGGCACTTGCTTATTGCATCGCCCGGTGTCGCCTATGCTCCCTCGCGCGCGGTATGTGTGTGTGGCCACAGACAGGCACATTCAATTCGAGTTCTTGTGTCAAAGATCGACAGCGGGCGGCAGGTTCGAGTTCCCATAGAACGCGTAGGCTTCTATCTTCTTTTGGGAATCTCCGCAATCTACGACCGAAACAATTGGTTGTTGCAGCCCTTTTCGTTCTCATATTTGCTCGTCGTTCCCTCCAATTGCAGACACGCGCACAGCGGGCAACCTTCCAGCGCTGCACAAAACGACAGCAGATAGCCCTGGCGACGCCATCCCTGTCCGGAGCCGAAGCCTGCCTCTGCGCCGTGTGTCGAGAGAAAATGTATGCAAGCGCCTTTGGCCGTCTGCTGGGCACGCAGCGTGTCGTGTGCGTGGGTAGAAGAATTTAATACCGATGACGTCGAGGTCGACTCGACAAGTTACTCCGGTTTTTCCGTTCTCTCCCTTTCCCCAGATCAATATGCCCGCTGCTTCTTTTCTGCTGTTTCTGTGAGCGGGGGATTCGATTCTGGTACGGTTCCAAGTATAGATAGAATTGGCAACATTATGAGACTGATGTCTCCAGGTTCACGTGCGGACAAGTTCCCCTTGGGACATGGAGAATGAGAATGCTGCTTCGTTGAAAGTGATGCTTTGCACGAAAAAGTCGTTTCGGTGAGGGTTGAAGTTCTCCTCTTCTGCTGCGTCTGCTCTTCTCCTCCTGTCCTTCATCTGTTGCCTGTCGACGGATGCGTGCCGCGAGGCGGAGCAACAACAACACAAGCAAGCATTTTTTTTCGGGCAAGCGGCGGGCGGGTGTTTTTTTCTTCCCCTGTGTCTGTCTGTCGTGGTCACTCGTTGTTTTCTTTCACTTTCTAAATATCACACGACAAATCATCTCTATAGAAATATTAGCAATGAATCCATAGCGTGAGCGAAAGGCTACCTGTATGCTTTGTCTACGGTTTCCCAGACAGCATAGACGACAACGATATCTCCCCTGTCGATAACAGGCTCAACAAGGCATTTTGGTAGCCATCTTGTGTATCTATCTGTCTGTATGTTATGTTGGGAAGTTGTAGACGAGAGATTAGGGGAACTCTTGTTGTTGTTGTATCGTATTGTCGCTGCAAAGTTGCGGAAGCCTCCTCATCAGCTGACTGAAAAAACGTGCCGCGTTCTCTGTCGCCTTGGACATAATAGTAGTCGTCGTGCACGCACGCACGTCTTCTTGAATTGCTTGCACGAGATTGAGTACGAACGGTCGGCTATACGTAGGTAGTTGGTGTTCTCAACTTCATCTGCACAACATGCGTGGGTTGGGGTCCTCAGCTCTATCTATCATATCTACACAGCAACCACGACAACACCGAAAAGCCACGTACTTGCCCACCCTCGCACAGGAAAAAGGGAGCACGTTTTTTTTTCTATTTTAATGGTATGAAGAAAATTATTATTATTACTTTAATAGACTGCATGCAGAGTACGACCACCACACACACGCAAACACTGCTTGCTACTTGCAACTATCACACGTTGTCTGTCGTTTTCTTGTGCCAACCATGTTCGTATGTTGCAACCATTCCCGAAGTAAGTTGGTCGGACAGCAACTATCCCAATTGTTTATCCTGCCGACCGATTGTTGATTGTTGGGGGATTGCATACATGATGTGTTATTATCCTCCTCGTACCTTTTTTTTTGCCCTGAACAACATATTCGCCTGATTGAGAGCGAAGTATCTGATTGAGAGCGAGAGCCAAAAAAATTGAAATTTCGGGTCCAGACGCCTCTTGCCATTTCTTGGCAAGTAGGGGACGGGCTATTCCAAGAAGCGGTGCAAATTGAAGGTCTCATCAGCAGCTTCGCGAGCATATGCGTGTCATCGTCATCGGATGCTGCAGCGAGGAGCTAGACAAGTTGCTAGATTTGCCCAGATTGGCTATTTCTGCTCAAACTGTTTCAGGGCGGTATCGCGTCGGGCGGTGGGCTCTGCTGTAGCTTCTGCTCCCCGCTGTAGCTCCACAACGAGAGACTCCCACAGGATGACCAGGGTAGCGGCTTGAAGCTACGGGCTAGCCCTTCAATTCAAGCTACACAGCAAGCTCCACCTCTCAGTGGTAGTCCGGCTACAGCGTATCGCGCAATCTCGCTCTCAATCAGATGCTACGCTCTCAATCAGGCGAATATGTTGTTCCTGTCCGTCTGACAATAATAATCAGCGAGCGAGCGCTGTTTGTTTTCTCCTGCAATAAATACCAGGTTCTTTGCAGAGAGAAAGATACAGCAGATAGTTGTACCAGGTCATGTACAGGCGAATATTATCTTACTACTATGTAGTCCAAGTGAAATATGCACACAACGAAGGGTAAATCGTTCAGCGTATGACCATCGCAACTAATATTACTCGTTTCTTCCGTCGCACCGCCTTCAGAAAAACAGAAACATCTAAACTATACGCGCAGAGCGACGAAAACACCCAACGGCATAACAGTCGATTCTCTCTCAGCAGTAGTATTTCGTTTTCTTCGACACGATGGCCTAAATATCGGACGACAATAACCAAGAAGGAAAGAGAGGCACCCGATCCATTCGTGATTGTTGCGCACCAACCGGGCCATCACCTCTCCGCGCGCGCGTGTGTGTAGACTATTGTACTCGTTGCAATAAACACAATTTTTACTTCAATTTGCAAGTGTAAGTACGTCCACGAGACAGAGATTATTCAAGAGGCGAAATAATATATATATATACAGAATCTGGCCGAAAACTTCCTCGCCCTTTCACTCACCCCTAGTCGCCCTTGTCCAAGCAGCGCCTCCCTCTTCACTAGCATGCACCAGTAGTTCGTTCAAAATACAGGCATGTAGGGAGCCAAGCAACCCACGGTGCCAGAGACTTTGATTATGATGCGTCTCCCCAAAAAGATGTGAGAAGCAAGGAGGAGGGGGGGAACTAGGGAGTAGGGGGACGACGGAGGAGACAGACGCCGGGAAGAAGAAGCAGGGGTATGTATTCCAACGCCTGATAGACTACTTGTTCATCCATCGCATGCCACGCGAACAATATTCCTACAACAAGCAAGACACCCATTTCACGATGTCATCGATCGCATCCATCCATGGTGGTCGGCCGAAAAAAAAACAAAAAGTCCGGTCCGATGAAACAGGTGGGACGGGCGGGGGCCGCATTGCACTGTACGACAAAACAACGAGAAGCTCACAAACTACACAAAAAAATAACATTAAATTTCAGTGGTTAACTCCAATCAATCAACCCAAGGTACTCTATGCTATCGGCCGACTGGCTTGCTGCTGCAACAGAAACCCACGCACGCACACATACACGAACCCATTCCGCACAACAGAGGCTGGTATAGAGAAAGACCTTGTCGTGCGCACCACGTTAGTTACATCAGCAGCAGCGTCATCATCAGCAGCAGCGATTTAGACACGTCGTAAAGCCCGTCAAGCGCGCGCGCCGTCCTAGGCCAAGTCACTGATATACGCGCCAGTGCGCACCTGACGGCGAGCAGGAATAATAAACCCTCCGCTCTCCTTACCAAGAACTCATGTCCGGTCGCCATTTCGTGGAACTAAAAGCTAAATAATAACCGAAGATATTACAAAACGCGTGGGACCTTTGTCTACAGTTGAACTATTTTTTGACGCCCACATTTCCCTCCCCCCCCCGCCCCCGCCAACGACTAGTACCTCCCACGGACAAAAAGCTGGAAAAACTACCGACGCCCACACGCGAATTTCGCGCCGAGAACCCCTGCCCCACCCTCTCCTTAAACTTGCAGCTTCGGTTCGGTTAGAACCCAAAAAGTCCCCCCCGCCACCCCCCCCCCCTTCCCGGTGAGAAAGAAAGCGTCACAAAGACGTTCCCTCGTGAGCCGCAACACGTTTCAACCACCATCGAATCGACACAACCTTCCACCCTGGGAACTGGGAACAACCTTCCTTGCCTAACCAACATGAAAAAAAAAAAAACGCTGCCGGCAGCACACAATCGAGAGCGTCCAACAACGAGCTGCTGCCCCACAACAGCCTCGTGCACTCCCCCCCCCCCCCCCCCCCCCCCCCCCCCCCCCCCCCCCCCCCCCCCCCCCCCCCCCCCCCCCNGGTGGGGGGGGGGGGGGGGGGGGGGGGCACTGTGGCCAATGACGGGAGGAGGGCAAGGGTCCCCTTTTCAAGCCCCACCTAGGAGTCTCACTCTCATCATCACATGACAATGGCGGGACGGAAGAGCAGGCACCCACCGACAGACACCGACAGATGTAGCGCCACGACACCACGACACCACGTCACCACGCGGGGGCGTTTGCCGCGACGGCGGCAGGAGGGTGACGCCCGAAAGTTATCTACGCCCCCGGAAGAGAGGCTGGCCGACACTGATTTCCTGCGTGCGCCCTCCCCCGCCCCCTGCCCTTCAAACAAGCAAGCCTAGCCTCAAGAGCAACAAAAACACGCTCATCGGGCCACGGGATTCAGCACCGGGGGTGACACAGAACAGATCTCCCCCCCCCGCCCCCCGGTACGCACACAACCGCACCCTGCGTTTGACTATCAAGAAGGGGAAAGGCATCACAACGGGTACACACCCCGCCAACCCCTCCCCCGCTCTTATCCTCCTCCTGATCCAACGTGCCGCGTGAGGGAAACGACAAGCCTATTTCTGTCAAACCAACGACAAATTTCTATCTGCAATGCATGCAAGTAAGAGTGCACGACGGACCGGAAAAAACAAAAAGCCGGGTATGCATCGTAGGAAGACGGAGAAGCAGGGTGCCCACGATGGACGTGAGCCTTCATACATATCCCTCGCATCTAGAGGTTATATAAGCTTAGAGGTAGATGTCGAGAGGGCTGATCTCTGCGAGCCGGGAGGCGATGCTGACCGCCGCGATGCGGTAGAACTTGGCGGCCAGCTTGCGGTCCTCCCGGAGCCTGGCGACGATCTGGTCTTTCGTGCAGGATCGGACCTGGGGGCAAGGGAAGGGTTGGGAATACGGGCGAACAAAGGAGGGAAAAAGACATCCGTAATGACCGTTGAAAAGTGTGTTGACAGGGAGAGCGAAATGCACACGTACGCGATGGGGCGAACATTGAATCAAACCGGAACTGGGCAAGGGTTTGGTTGCAAACTCGAGCGTACGAACAAGGAAGGAACACACAACCAGCACACGGGAGCCGTGTCAATGATAAACATACACACACAGGAAATGAGAACCAACGCTTGTAACGGTATCACAATGGGCATCTTCTAGCCTACACACAATCAACAGAGACTCGCACGCGGGTGCGATTGTCGTCCAATTACCACCTGACAGGCCGCAAAATACCGCTGCTGCTCAATGGTGAAAAAATAGACCATGTGGCAGACCGTCCAAGCATTTCTTCCTGCTCCTGCTTGCTGTCGCTGTTCCTACTGTCGTCGGGTATGGCGAACAATATGCAGTGCACAACTTGCACTTCTGCTGATGATATTACATAACGTCTGCGCCACGCACTGCTGCTAGCGGCGCTGCTTTCATTGTTTGGGGGCGTCTTACAGAAGCCGAAATCAAACCATTCAGCGCTGACGAGTCTAATGTGATTCCGGCTTCTACAAGAGTTACTCGTGGTTCGCTGACTAGTCTGATGGTTTATTTCGGCTTCGATAGTCTCCTTCCACTCACCACCGCCTTCTCCGAGTCCACGACGATAGAGCTGTAGGCCGGAGAGCCGGTCAGGAAGGAGTCGAAGCCGAAGATCTCTCCCGAATGGATCTCCTGGAAGACGACACGGTCCATGGCCTTGCCGCTGTCCAGCACGTTCGACACGTGCTCCTGGGGATGAAATGCGTGCGTTACTACTGTTATTATGGATGGTGGCGCCATTTGACACATCAATACGCCCTCCTCAACCCGGACTCGACATATTTGACTTGCTGAGGTCGTTGGCTCTCGCGGCCGGCGAAAAAAAAAAAACAAGTGCAGACCTGCTTGACACCTTTGAGTTGCGGTCATCAACGGTCCAAAAGTCGCTCGTTTCTCCCCTGTGGGTTACAACAGACACACCCCTGATCTTGTCTCTCCTACTCTCTCTGTCTCTTTGTCTCTGTCTCTGTCTCTGTCTCTGTCTCTCTGTCTCTCTCTATCTCTGTCTCTGTCGCTGTCTCTGTCTCTCTGTCCCTGTCTCTGTCTCTGTCTGTCTCTGTCTATCTCTCTCCTCGTGCCTCCCTGCCTCACCTTGACTCGCTGAACGCGCACGATGCCCGTGCACAGCAGGTACAGGTTGTCGTTGAAGTTCAGCTCGCCGATCACCACCTGGTTTCGGTTCAGGCCGATCGGCACGCTCCCCGCGAACAGTGTCTTCTTCTCCCGCTCGCTCATGTCCGTCATCAGGGCCCCAATGCCCTTCTGGGTCATCTTCTCGGCCTGACGCAACGACAGCGGGAGGGGGGCGCAGAACGGAAAAGGGGAGCACAGGCATAAGTTTCAGACACAGGGAAGGGGAGCGAGGACGGCACAGCCGGTGAGGGGGGCGGCCAGCGAGCAGCAGCCAATAAAAACGAATACAGTAGTAATGGTCCCGGTATAATGCCGGTGCAATCCAGCCGATATCACCAGCACTATTGCGGGCAACCGGCACTATTCAGAGGATGAAACAACGTGAATAATCCATCTGTGCCACCGGCAGGGTACCAGATGACCGGCAGTATGCATTTACCGGGGCCATTAAAGTCTAAATACCGCGTGCATGCCAATCTGGAACACCAGTGTTGTGTGTACAACAGAGTAAGCAGCGATAGAACATGCGCCGAGATACTAGATGGCAAGTAGAACCGACCATGGTTGGGTACTCAGAGGTACCTCCCGAGGTCGCCGAAGGCAAAAGCATAAAAAAAAAAAATGAAATGTTGAGTCCCTCATCCTTTGCTGCAGCACCACCTGCAGAGGTCGTACAGACAAGGAAATCAATCACTCGCACGACGGCACCCTCCCCCATGAAGCCCCTCATGGGATCCCGGATCACGGCTTTCAGAACAATATTTCTGTCTTCAACCGCACTGAGACTGTCATATTTTCATGACCAGCCCGGTCAGCGCAGTCGATGCCAGTAACAAAGACACACACTCTGAGACTGACACTAAAACTGTCGTATTTTCATTGGTCAACAGGTTAGCGCGTTCGATCCCGATAATATAGAAATACAGTCACACTTCTTTTCATTGGTCAGCCGGTTAACGCCGTCGATGCAAAAAAAAAAAAACAGCAACACACCTGGTTGAGGTGGTCGAGGCTCAGGCGGGTCATCTTGCGGCGCAGCACCTTCCGCATCTCGCGGGAGGTTACCTCGTCCTCGCTCTTCCACCGGGAGATGCACTGGGCGTACAGGTTATCCCTCTCCGCCTCCGTCTTCGCCTCCAGCATTTTGCGCCCCTGTTTCGACAACGCATGTAACACAAACCAAACAAAAACATGGAGGAGACGGGGGCGTGGTCGAATCGCACTCGTTGTAGCATTGAGTATCGCTCGGCTAGGATATCCTGCCGTGTGCTCGGAAAACGGATGGGTGGGTAGTCGGGGGGGGGGGGGGG